TAAATGAGATTAAAAATGTGCAATTAAGTCAATTAAGGCAAAATAACAGCGAGTCGTGTAAATATGAAAACATTTTTGACAGGAGAAACAATGATTAACAAGTAGCAACTAAAGCATGGAAGGCATTTAGAGCACATCACAGTTAAGGCGGGGAAGGAAATATTTATGAAAAAGCGTAAACTCAGGGAAACAAGTAATTCGGCAGCGTATAAGCACTCGTCACCTAGCATAGACGCTGCAACACATGGAATTCACATAGCACATAGTCCGAGGGTTCCTAATTCTCTCAAATCGGGGTTAAACTCAACACTTACCTCACTCTACAATCAGCTTAGAGCTCTACCAGAGCCTTTCCCCTAAAATCTGCCTCCAAACCACTCGTATCTAACCATAATTGGCTCACTAATATCAAATATTGCTAAAGGAATCAATTACAATGCATAAATTTAGAATTCCCACACTTTTCCCTTAAAAAGTAAAAAATCGACCCCGGGCTCGCTTGGTCTAAATCCGAATTCGGACCAAAACCCGATTACCCATTCACCCCCGAGCCTAATTACGTAATTTGTTTTGAAATCCGACCCATATTTGAGGTCTAAATTCTATTTTTTTTGAAAATCCTAATTCTACCCAAATCCCCAATTTCTACCATGAAAATCTTAGATTTTAGGTGAAAATCTTATGAAATGTAATGGGTAATTGAAAGAAGTAGGTTAGAATCACTTACCAACAAATTGGGGAAGAAAAGTTCTTGAGAGAATCGCCTCTAGGGTTTTCTAGCTTTGAAAATTTGAAAGAATGACAAAATTGGGACTGTTATAATCACTGGCATCAGGTGTTCATCGCGTTCGCGTGAAACCTAACGCGTTCGCGAAGAGCAAAGCCTCAATGGCTTATGCAATCGCTAGTTGATCTCCGCGTTCGCGTAGGCTTAGCCCCCTCTAGCCTCTGCGTTCGCGATCCTTGTATTGCGTTCGCATAGAGCAACAGTCAACTCCCAGCACCCACCTCTATTTCACTACGCGTTCGCGATTGACTGGTCGCGTTTGTGAAGAGCAGGCCCCCAATGCTCTGCGTTTGCGTAGAACAAAATCTCCCCCAGCCCAGTTTACCCTTCGCGATCGCGGGAGTATATTTGCGACCGTGAAGAAGGAAACATCAGAAACCAGCAAAAGTGAAAACCAGCAATCTTTCTAAGTTCAAAAGGTCCGTAGGCTATCCGAACCTCACCCGAGCCCTCGAGGATCCAAACCAAATATGCACACAACTCCAAAACGATCAAAACACCAAAATAACACCTAGAACTACGAATCAGACACAAAATCAAATGAAATTTCAATGAATTTTTAGAATTTCTATTTTAACAACCGGACGTCCGAATCACGTCAAACTAACTTTGTTTCTCACTAAATTTGGCAGACATGTCATAAATATAATAATGGACCTATACCGGGTACCGAAACCAAAATACGGATCCGGTATCAACAAAGTCAAACATTGGTCAAATCTTTAAAGTCATTAAACCTTTAAACTTCCAGTTTTCGACAAAATGTGATAACTCGAGCTAAGGACCTCCGAATTCGATTCCGGACATACGCCCCAGTCCCAAATCACGATAAGGACCCTTCGGGACAGTCAAAATACAGGTCCGGATCCGTTTGCCCAAAACGTTGACCGAAGTCAACTCAAATGGATTTTCAAGGCAAAATTTCATATTTTATCACATTTTAACATAAAAGCCTTCGAAAAAATACCCGGACTGCGCACGCAAATTGAGAAACGATTAAAGAAGCTATTGGAGGCTTTAAAATACAGAATTAGGGTTTAAAACTCTAGATAACCTATCGGGTCATCACAGTCTATCTGTTAGAAAGTTTTGGAGTTTATTACTTTGCGGCTAAGTTACTTTTTTCCTATAAATAGAGGTGTTGTATTCCATTGTAAATTCATCTCAAAACCAATAGAATTCTCTCACTCTCTCTCTCTTTCTTTGCAATATTCTTCTTTTCTTTATTGATTTATTTCAAAAATAGTATTCCATAGAGGAGAGAATTGAAAACGATAAGGGTAAAATAGAAATTGTGTAAGATAATTTTTTTTGGGGGGGGGGGGGGGGCGGGGGGGGTAGGGGGGGGGGGTAGGGGTGGNGTAAGAATAGTGTAGATATTTTGGGTTGGGGGGGGGGGAGGATGATAATTCCTTAAAGTTGAGGGGGAAGTTTGATCTTTATAGTAAATTTAGGGGTGTAAATGATTTTCACAAATCTTTGATGATTAAGTCACGTAAATTTGAATTGTCTAATGTTAGAAAGGTCCAAATCACTCCCGTGAACACTACTAGATGACTTGCTTCTAATAATAAACATGGTGAAATAAAATATGTATTCACTGCTCTAAATTACTCATTTTGTTAGGATTCGACAAAACCAGTACGAACAGTAAACAAACATGAAAGAAATCAAAAAAAAAAAAAGAGAAACTTTTATGCTACAGTCAGACCTCTCTATAATATCATCCATATATAACAACACTTCACTATAAAAGTCAAGCTTTTCCGGAATCAATTTTCATGTTATGTTATAATATATGTTCTCTGTAACAGCACTTCGCTATAACATCCAAAAATATTCGGAATAGACGAGGATGTTATAGAGAAGTTTGACTGTATCTTGCCTGAATTACTAGCATATCTATCTATATCTATCTATCTATACTATATTAAAAGCAAGAAGCCCTTAGCAAAATGTAGTTCATCTTTTTACCCTTTAAAAATAGAGTTCACACTAGATATAATAGTCATTTGATTATTTTTCCTATATGTAGGAATCGTCTTTAATAATTTGCTAATACTTAGGTATAGTCTTTAGTTATTTCCCATTTAGGAGTTCGAAATCAACAATATTTTGTGCATTAAATCCTGGTATAACTTTTAAAATATATTTAAAATTCTTTATTTAAACACCCTCTTTATTTAAAATAAATAAATAAATTTTAAATACCTTGTATAAATTTCTCCTTTATGTAACGTAACAATTTTATCAATCTTTCCATCACGTCGCAAACCGAGATGTAAATGGCAAATTGCTACCACCTAAGCTCCAAAATCCGAGATGGTAATAGAAGAATCGCTACCACTAGGGGTGGGCGTCGGTCGGTTCGGTCGGTTATTATGAAAGTGCGGTTCGGTTTATCGGTTTTCGGTTTTGTAATATTAATAACCAAATCAAACCAAAGTATTTACGGTTCGGTGCGTTTTTTTCAAAGTTCGATTCGGTTATTTCCGGTTTATTTTTTCGGTTTTAAACGGTTCAAGGAAATAGCACATAACAGAAACGAAGCTAGTGTAAGAGAGACAAACTAGTGTAACTGACATTTAGTGCAATGGCCGGAAATGCTGTTGGACCAATGACATTTAGTCCATTTCGGTGCGATTTACGGTTTAAGGAAATTGGATGTTCTGGAACGAGGATGTTTTATCTGTATTTCAATGCAAAGGTACCTCATTAGCACATAATCGATATCAGTTAGTCAGAAACTCCATTGGGTCCAGTTTTTGAATTCATTCATTCTCGCGCAACTTTTGAGCATTACTCTCAATTGCCATATTACTAGAATCTGTCCATATTCATATGGGAGCAGCAGAAGAGAAGTTAGGTCAGCAATAAGCTGGGACCTGACTAGAATGAACCAAAGAGATTCAAAGAACAAAGGTACCATCTGTTGGCATTTGCGAATGTTGCTGCTGAGAAGCCGCAGACTGAGGAAATTGACTGGGAACACTCAGTGAGTTTCTAGATGCCTGAATTAAATTTTATGACGTAGAATTAATACCCAAAGATTGAGAAATTTCATCTTTTTTATGTAACAACTGAAAAAATGCTGCTTCATCTACCTGAGATTGAAATTTATATACAGCCATTTTGAGCATTTGGTCACCAATTATACTTCTCGTGTGTCTTACAAAACCTTCCTTAGAAATTTTATTTTTCTGAACACATATTCCTTTTGTTAGCAAAACTACTATAACAGAAAAGGCAAAATAATGCAAAAACAAGTCAGCTATAGCAAACTACTTTGAGTTTAACGTAAAGAGTCTGGAGTTGCGAAATGATGCATTTAGTGCAATGGCTGGAAATATTGTTGGGTCAATGAAACCAAGAATAGAGAACAAGCAAAAGAATTAACACAGCAGCACAGTCAACCAAAATTTCGGTTTTTTGGTTTAACTGAAAACCAAAATACAAAAACCGTAAACCGCACCGAAAAACCGAAAATTAATAATTTTAAAACCGTGCACCGACTGAAAAACCGATTAAACCGAAACCGAAAAACCGAAATTCACGGTTCGGCCGGTTTATTCGGTTCGGTCGGTATTATGCCTACCCCTAGCTACCACCAAAGCTAAAAAAATTCAGATTTTCTCTTTTGAAAATTACCTAGATAGTTAATTTTGAAAAATAAATAATCTGAAAATATAAAATAACTATTGAAGTTAGACGACAAATTAACTTTTATAGCTTTAAAAACTAAACTAAGCTATCCCTTATAAGAATTTGTTAATACTTAAAATTTTGAAATTAACTAATTAAATTTTATCATAATTTTGTTGGAATGTGATTTAAGGACAATGTTTGCACTATAAACTTTTTGATAGGCGAGTCTAATTTATCTATTTATCGACACTATCATAAAAATAAAAAATTCTAACATAAATGTTGATCAACTTTCACCCTTCATAAGTGTAGAAGAAGACCATAATAGTATTTGTTGTTCGTTGGGGTACAACTTATATTCTTCCTTTGTTGATTAATATCTACAGGTTGCAAATAATTTACCAACATATAATACTAGCTGAAATATAAATGTGCCATATATATAAAATGGAGCAGAGAAGAGTAAAATATCTAGTAGTAATAATATATATTCAGTGCGACAAGTTCGTATATATATTAAGATCCGGTAAAACGAACACTACTAACTCAACAAAGTAAACATGAAGCTCGAAATCAAAACCAAAACTAGCTAAAATATAAACATTGTTCTTTAGTCTAAAAAAACTATCTCTACCTAGAAGCAATTTGGTCCTGGAATTTAGTAGCTGTAGTAGTGAGTCCAAACCCAAATGGGAAAAGTGGATCATAGTGTGAATCACCAACATTCATTGGCAATTGGTCCACAGTCTTGAACCAAGTTCTTGATAATTTTCCAGTAAACTCATAATCACCAAATAAAACATCAGCAACTCCTTGTCCTTGAGTACCAGGTAACCAAGCAGCAACAAGTGAATCAATGTTACTTAAATGTGGTTGCACAACTAATGGTCTCCCAGAAATTAAGACCACTACACATTTTATACTTCCACAGACATTGTTCATTGTTGTTATTCCCTGCTCTGGGATTGTCAAATTCAAGTTGTCTCCTGCTGTTTCAGCATAAGGTAGTTCACCTACTACTACTATTGCATATGAGAATTTGTTGGATTCCATAAATTCTGTCGTGGGGTTTTCACTGTAGACTACTTCTGTACTTGGATCAACGGTAGCAGTTACAGCATCCAAAATGGTTGTCCCTGAAATTTTCAGAAATGACCAAAAAGGTAAAATGACTAGAGGTTTATATACTAGTAGGAATTTTCTTTTATTTTATTTTACTTATATATTAGATGAGCTTAGATGAAAATCTTTGTTCTTGACCACATCACAACAATAAACAACTACGTCTCAATCCAAGTTTCGGCCAGTTGTTGTTCTTGACAAAAAAAAAAGGTTAAACAAAAAAGAGAAAAAAAGAGGGGACGGGCCTGGCAAGGACAGAAATCAACATTCTATAAGAGTTTAAGTTATATATACTACGTAATAGTAACACTATCAATATTATTTAACTGGTTATTGCATATTATCTATTGCTCTTTGTCAGATTATCATCTCATGCCTAAATGAAAAATTACCAGCTATTGTAGGTTAACTTAAGTTGACAGCGTAAAAATTAGTGTACCGAACATAAATTCTTTACGAAATCTTTATTATTTTTTGAGAGAAAGAGGATGGGTGGAGAAAATACCAAGTGTGACATTGTTTCCTTCAACTCCTTGCCAAGTAATAGTCCAACCACCACATTGATAGCCCAAATTGTTGGCATGAGATCCAGCCACTAATATTCTTGTTGCCTTCTTAGGCAGTGGAAGTACAGGCTCATCTGCATTTGCCCCATTCTTCAGTAATACTAGTGATTTTCTCACTGCTTCTCTTGCCAAATCTCTATGTGCCTGTTTCAACATTAATTGAAACTCAATATCAGTCAATTCAACAATTATTCTAAAAATATATAGAGTCTAGAAAATCTGATTATTCATATAGTATATAAAAAGAACCTGACCTGGCTTCCGAGGTGTTTAACTAATCTATAATCAGCCAAAGGATTCTCAAAAAGACCCATGGTAAATTTGACTCTCAAGATCCTCCTCACTGCATCATCAATTCGGCACAAGGGAATATAATTATTATTCACCAACGAAGTCAATATATCAATAAATTCCGTATGGTTTAGAGGGACCATAATCTGAAAATCGAGCACAACAAAGTCAGGTGACAATTCAAATTTTCGAACAGCAATTTCATTGTCACTCCATCTGTTCCTTTTTATACGTCACTTTACGCGACAAAAAAAAAAAAAAAAAAAAAAAAAAAAAAAAACCAAAAAGAAAATTTTGGTCCAAAATATTATTAGTCACTTCAGAAAATGAAGAAGGCATTCATTTTTTTCCCCTTCTAATTCTAGCTACACTACTTGAAGAAGACATATAGTTTATTAGTTACTCATGTAAGGAAGAGATAAAGGTATTTTAATGACCCAATGTTATTAAATTCTCCTTTTGATCCTATGTACTTTACACTTAAGATAAAATTATTTGTTCCGAAATACTTGTCGTATCAAAGATTAGTTTTTATATTTTTTTAAATGTCCAAGAAAAAAAGTAAAAGATTAAGAAATCAAAGAATAAATAAGGACAGTTTAATCAAGTAACTCTAACTATTAATGTTTTTATAATGGGTTTGCAGAAGGATAAAATGGCAGCTACATAGGATCAGAGGGGCTAATATTTTAATTATGAACGTACAAAAAATTTAAGCGACATATAAAAAGGATTAGAGAGAATATTAGTAGCTAACCATGTCAATGCCAGCTTGAACCCCAGTGAGCACCGAATGTGTGTAATTTGCATGAGGTGGTGAAGTTATTTTATCAATTCCTTGCCAATCTGAGATGACAAATCCCTTCACAAAAAAAAAAATACTTTTAATTTCTTAACTAAAAGTTATTGAATTACTCAACTAATCAAGGTTAGTGAAATGGTTAATTACCCTGAATTTTAAGGTATCCTTGAGGAAATTGGTAACAAGATTATGATGTGCATGCATCTTAACACCATTCCAACTTGAATAAGACACCATAACAGTAGAAACTCCCTTGATAATTGATTGATAATAACCAGGCATGTGAATACTTAGCAATGTGTGCCAATCTGTCACTGTATTATTCTCATTGATCCCTTTTGTTGTACCACCATCTCCAACAAAGTGTTTAGCACAAGCTGCTACCTTTTCCCTAAAGAAATGGTTTGAATTTATATTAAAAAGAAAATGTTAGACATGTTTTGACGATTATATTAAAGAGTTGATGAGTAATTGTTTGTTTGGTCAAGCTTCCAAAATTTGCTTATTTGAGAATTACTTTTCGAAAAAGCATTTTTGAAAAGTAGCAGTTTGAAAATTCTTGCGACTACTCAAAAGCATTAATTTTTTTTCTTAAAAGCTTTGATCAAACAACTCAACTCTCTAAAATAAATAGTACTTATTTAATTTAAAAATATAAACACTTTTGGCTTGACAGAAACTTGGCCAAACGGATTATAAGAGACTTAGTAAGGGTAATGTAAATTAAGCTTACTTTCCAGCAACATAAGGAATGCCAGCTTTACGAGGAGGATGGTCCCCTTGTAATCCAGGGATAATTTCAGTCATTTGTTTCACAATTTCTGGATCCTCACTGTAACTCTCATAGCACCTACCCCATCTTGGATCTCTGCATACCTGTTGAGGCACAAGTTATTTAAAAACTAATTTTAAATTCTATGCACCAATAATGTATCACGATCAATTAACGATTTATAACAAACATGACTTGATAATCCAAAAAAAAACGTACAATGTAAGGTTAGGATAAACATATATTTACCGCAATGCATGGAGCAAAAACATATTGAATGCCAGTAGCTCTAACTTCAAGAGCAGTTGCAGCACCAATTCTTTTCACAAGCTCTGGATCTCTGCAAGATTTGAAAGAAAGAAAAAAATAAAAAGACAAACAAATCATGTAATGAGACAAAGTAATTAAAACTGTTAATTTATTAATTTGACTACTCGTATGTAATTAATTTGAATAAATAAAACTTTTGATACTACTATTATTCGAGGAGAACTAAAACATCAAGATCTTTTAACAAGATGAAGAAGAATAGCCTCGCTAAAACATCTTCATTGTTTAAATTAAGTGGTAGAAAAAGGTGTTAATTATTTTATACAACAAAAAGAAACAATATTATAATCTAGCCTCGCTGAAAGTAAAACTTCTTAATTTTGATTGTTAATTCAAACGGATATTAAATCTTTTATGTTTTTGAAATAAAAGTTTATATAATAAAAAATACAATAATTAACAATTCAAAATATTTAAAAGACAAGAAAAATTACGGTCAAATCAAAGAAAAACTTATTTGACTATCAAGATTCGAGTGATGTCACATAAATCGGGGCGCATGGAATACTATTTCCTTTAATCTTTCAAAGGAAACTAATCCTTAACCCAAAAAAGGCACGGCAAATTAAACATAAGTTATAAAAAAGATTTATTGTATATCCAATGACATTGTAATGATTTAGTTACCCTATTTGTCAGATTAATTGCTCTACTTGTTACGGACAATTACTTTAATTTTCCATTAAACTGACCTAACAATAATGTAATAGAAGTTAAATGCTTTATACTAAAAATCAAGGGAACTTGCCTGGTTGCACCAAGGCCAACATTATGAGGAAAAACAGTAGCCTTATAAACATTATTATGGCCATGAACTGCATCAATCCCATAAATCATAGGAATTCCAAGCCTAGTAGACAATGCTCCCTTTTGAAACTCATTCACCATATCAACCCATTCTCGGGCTGTCGCTTCAGGTTTTGGCACACTTCCTCCACCACTCAGTACGCTCCCTATTCCGTAATCTTTCATAATTTTCGGTGTCAAAATTCTTCTATCGAGCTGTGTCATCTGCCCTATTTTCTCTGCCAATGTCATTCTACTCATTAGATCCCTTATACGTATATTTAGCGGCTTCCTAGGATCCTTGTAAAGCAAGTAATCTCCTTCTGCCATGCAGGCAGAGAATAATATCACAAGTCCCAATATAGGGATTGCAATTCTTGATCTCATGATTTCTGTAAATGGACATGGAAAAACAAAATTAGGGTTTTATTCAAGAATTTAACAGATTATACAACAACTAAAAAAAAAAAGATGCACTAATAGTATAAACATAATATACATAATCAGCCAGGTCACGTATAAGGTAATTTAAGTAACTCAAAAACACAAACCTTTAGACCAAAGAAAAAGGTTAAACTCTTTAACATGAAAAAAGAAGAAGTTAAAATCTTCAACATAATGAAAGAATATAATGTACTATTTAAAAACAAAGCAATCAGCAGGCATTCTAATGATTGTGCATAATTAAATTGATACGGGATGATAATAAAGAAAATGTACCAAGTAAAAGAGACGAAAGTAAACCTAGATACTGCAGTTGTTATGAACCTTTTATAATAGAGCAAATATTTGAGTGTTAGTGTTTGAGATGATATCTACAAATTAAACGAATATGATCAACATAAACGGGATATGTTATTTATTGGGGGATCGGATTTAGAGATTAAATAGTTTGGGATAAGCACAAATTCCTTCCAAGTAGGATTCTTTTACCTTCTTTGACTTGATAGGAAATATGTAAAAAGCTTTCCACCGAGATAAGATTGACTCTTAAAAGGAACACATTTAATAATATTAATTAATAAACATTCTCAAAATCTGTAGTTGCAAAAATTGCTGATTTACTCTCTGCCAGACCGTACTAATTTACCGTGGTTAAGCCATAATTTAAATAAGAATATATGTATTAGTTGACTATGGTTAGTGATAAGAGTATATGTGAAGAGATGTATATTATATATTCATTAAACTGGTATAAACATTCGGTACGATAAGTTTTGTTGCATAAATTAATCTTGATTAACTAATAGCTGCAATAATTAGGTATAGGAAATTCAATATCCAAGAAACATGTACATAGATGAGAGACTTGTTTAATACGAGATTCACTTGTACAAAACTAACCCCCACCTGCGTAAAATAGCGACTTAGCTAAAATAGTCTAATGTGATTAAGATATTAAGTTAACGTTCATATTTTTATTGATTTCGAGAATCACACATGAAAGTCTCCCTCATTTTCTCCATCTATTTGAGTGCAAATGTTAATCAATTTACTCGATTTTAATTGTAATTTATCATGATTGGTGTTGCTGACGTGGCAGAAGTCAGTTACGAGTAAAGCTGATGTGGCAGAGTTAGTTAGACAAAGTTAGTGTTAGTTACATAGTCAGTTAGGATTAGTTAAAGAGATTTCATTTTAGTGATCCACTTGCATTTGATCCATTCCTTTATATACATTGTAATTCATGTATTGACATTCATTCAGAATAATAGTAATCATTCTCTTCTCTCTTCTAAATTTTTTGAGTTATTTTCTGCGCACTACCCTGGCTTAGGCCTCATTTGTTTGCACTTAATGGAGGTCTGAATCTTAATCATTCAGATCTCAGACATTAAGTGCGTTTATTTTTAAAGTCTAAATGTTAATTATTCAGATTTTAATCATTAAGTGTGTTTATTTTTTTACTTCACAACCACTTATTGGGTCTGAATAGGTCTATGATTAAGATCTATAATAGAGACTTAATTTCATTAAGATGCTATCACATATTCATTATTAACTGCCGCCACCGCCTTCCATTATCAACTACCATCATGCCACCACCACCACGCCACCGTCATCCTCAATCATAGTCCCACCATTATCGACCATCACCACCCACTATCCCAACCACTCCGACCACCATAATCATTCTCCAACTACCACAACTGACCACCCCATCACCATCAACAACCACAGCTGGCACTGCCCATCATTATAACCTACCACCACCAACCCACCACCTTCATCAGTCACAACTACTACTACCACCCGCCATTATTAACTATCACCACCCACCACCACCATCCTCAATCATAATCGCCATCACTACCAATCAGTACTAACTACTAGCATGAACCACCATCATCAACCAAAACTACCACCAACCACCACCTCTAATCGGCATCCACCCGTTAGCCATCACCACCAACAACTATCGTATTTTAAAAAACTATATATTTATTGATAGAATTTTAGATTAGTTAGTATTTCATTTGAATTTTATGTTTATTAATTTTCAATAAAGATAAATTTTATATATTCAGATGTTAAAAATCGAACAGTCTTAATTATTTCTATTCAGATCTTAATATACATCTTAATATATTCAGACGTGTATTCAGATTCAAATGTCTTAATCTTAATACACATTTTAATATTCAGATGTGTATTCAGATTCAAACGTCTTATTCTTAAAAAAAAAACAAATGAGGCCTTAGCTTCTTCTATCTTCAAGCTTAGCTCCTAGATTCTTCATTGGTTCAGTCTTCAACTGCACTAATTGGTATCAGAGCAATAACTCCTTGGCATAACATGGGTAGGGAAAAGAATCAAGACAAACCTATTGATAGCATGAACGTCAATTGCAGAAATTGATGGAGGGTTTGACTAGTATGAACTTCAGGAATGCTCAAACAGATAAAGAGTTGCTCGAAATCAAAGAGGCAATTGGATTTATCAAACAACATGACAAGGGAATGGCGTCTTCATTTGATGGTGAATCTACAAGTCCTGTTCGAATGGGTCGATCTAAGGAAGCTCAACTAGTTATGCTTCAAGTGGTAATAGCTCCTTTACTTGATATTCTCGACTTGACTTTCCTCGTTTCTCTGGATATGATTTAAAATCCTGGTTGTATAAGGTGGATCATATTTTTTCCATGGAGGAAATTGCATTTGAGGAAAGGTTTAAGGTTGCTTGTATTCATTTTGATGGTGATGCTATTGTGTGGCATAGGTCATTTATGAGGTCTAGAAATGCTAATACATTCCCAACTTGGACTAAATATGTTCTGGCTCTACATGATAGTTTTGGGGATGCGTTTCAGGATCCAATGAAAGCTATCAAAAATTTGAGACAAGTTGGTAGTGTGCAGGATTATTAGATTGAATTTAACAGATTGTTAAATGAAGTCAATCTTTTGAATGAAAATGCTATCAGTTGCTTTTTAGGTGGATTGAAACCAGAACTAAACAAATCTGTTAGAATCCAATCACTAAGAACACTAATGCAAGCATATAAGTTTGCTAAACTACAAGAAGGTGTCTTTAAAGCTCATGCCCAATCTTGGGGCCTTAAGCCTACTTCTAAATACCATAATCCAAAATTAACCACTCTTTATGTTTCCAAACCCCCAGAATTCACATAAACCTACCTTCCCAAACTCCACCTTCAATAAGACTTTAACCAAATACCAAGAAAATCAATAAAACTAATAGTCACCTTCATTGAAAAGAGGTCCAATGGATTTTGTTTTTTCGGCGAGGTCCAAGAGATTATATTTTTTTGTGAAGAAAAATGTATAGTTGGGCACAATTGTAAAGCAAAAAGGCAGATTTTTATGGTAGAACTAGTTGAATAAGAAGCCATACATGAAGTGGTTATGGAGGAAGAAACACAGAATGTTGTGGAAGGAGTAGATGAATTCATAACTATTTCATTACAACCTTCACTAGGGTAACAAGTTACCAGACTATTAGGGTGACTGGCTGCCACGAGAAAAAACCCTTTCAAGTCTTAATTGACACTGGGAGTAAACACAATTTCATTGACCAAGATGTAGCCAAGAGTTTTGGATGTAAGGCAGTGATATAGTAGAACAATGCATTAGTGTAGCTGATGGAAGAAAGGTTCAAACTGCTTCTGTGTGTAGGAATATGCAGTGGCTCTTATAAGGAACCACCTTCTCCTAAGACTTCCTACTTTTACCTCTAGGAAATGTCGATATTGTTTTAGGGGTTCAGTGGCTAAGCACCTTGGGCAGTATTCTATTTGACTTTAGTAACAGAACCATTGAGTTTGTCTATCAGGGAAGGAAGCATGTATTGAGAGGGGCCAGCAATCAACCTAAGTAGGCAAGTTTAATAGCCAAGAAAGGTGGAGAAGACACTAAATTCTTTGTGATAATAGTAACAAATAATGCGGAGGAGAATCATAGTTTTCATAACATACAAGCTGCTCTAGGTACTGAAATTTCTCCAGCTTTAATTGTGTTACTGGAGCAATATGCTAGCATATTTGAGATTCCTACTACCCAACCTCCCTACTTCCTTTGATCATAGGATTCCTCTCATTGAGGATGCAAATCCAGTAAACAAGAGGCCCTATCGATATCCTGGTGTTAAGAAGAATATCATTGAAAAGCTGGTTCAAGAAATGATTGATCAAGGAGTCATACAACACTCTACCGGTCCCTATGCCTCTCCTATTGTTTTGGTTGGAAAAAAAGATAGAAGTTAGAGATTATGTCTTGGCTATAGGGAGCTTAATCAGTTAACAATAAAAGATAAGTTCCCTATCCCCATAATAGAGGATTTGTTTGATGAGTTAGGAGGAGCAAAAGTATTTTCTAAAATAGATTTACGAGCTGGATATCATCAGCTGAGAATGGCAAATGAAGTACTCATAAGACAACTTTCAAAACACATGAAGGTTACTATGAATTTCTAGTTATGCCCTTTGGCCTAACTACTGCACCCTCTTCATTTCAAAGCTTAATGACCAAAGTTCTTAGCCCTTATTAAGGAAATCGGTAGTTTTATTTTTTGATGGTATCCTAATTTATAGCAAAAGTATGACTGCTCATCTGGAACATGTTGAAGTTGTGTTTGAACTGATGAAGAGGTATCAACTTGTGCCAAGCATCCTAAATATGCTTTTGGAGTGTCTAAGGTTGAGTACTTAGGTCACTTTATCAGTAAGGAAACCCGTCTACTGACCCTAAGAAGATTGCGATTGTGCAGCAGTGGCCAATTCCTGATAACCTCAAGAAACTGAGAGAATTTCTTGGCCTAGATGGGTACTATAGGAGGTTTATAAAAGGGTTTGGATCCATTTGCAAACCTTTACATAAGTTGCTGAAGAAGGATGGATTTTTGTGCACAGAAGAATCCATAACAGCCTTTGACAGACTCAAACAAGCTTTAATTTTGCTTCCTATCTTGGCCATGCCTGATTATTCTAAACCATTTATAGTAGAGACTGATGCTAATGTGAAGGGTATTGGAGTTGTTTTGATGTAACAAGGTCGCATTATAACTTACATTAGTAGATCTTTGGCCCCTAGGCATCAGGTTATGAGTGTGTATGACAAGGAACTTTTAGCTCTCATTTTGATGTTACTAAATGGTCTCATTATTTGTTGGGCAGGAGATTTATTTTCAAGACAGATCAGAAGACTTTAAATTACCTTTTAGACCAAAACATTCATACTAATTTTCAGGTGGCTGGGATTTCTAAACTTATGGCCTTTGTTTTCTCTATTGAATATAAGAAGGAAACTGAGAACAAAGTTGTCGATGCTTTGTCTGGGAAACCTGAGGCTGAACTGTTATCCATTTCCATCCTAAAGCCAAATGATTCATTACTTGCACAGATATAGAATACTTGGTCTACTGATCCTTACTTGCAGGAGTTGATTGCTAAGTTACAACTACAGCCATTTAAGTCATTTACTTGGCTTAATAACTAGTTAAGGTGGAAAGGCAGATTGGTAGTAGGGCATGATTCTCAGTTGAGAAGAACTATTATCGAATTGTGGCATGCAACCACCCAAGGTGAATATTCTGGGATGGATGCAACTATCAAAAGGCTGCAATCATTGTTCCATTAGAATACTCATTGCAGATACTAGAGAATTCATCTAACAAATGGTATGTGTGACAACAACATAAGTATGATGCAGTTGCATATCCTAGTCTTCTACAGCCATTGCCAATTCCAAATGGTGTATGGACTGACATTTGCCTTGACTTTATTGAAGGCTTGCCCAAGTCTAATGGAAAGGAGGTGATATTGGTAGTGGTTGATTGACTGAGTAAGTACGGGCATTCATGAGTTTATCTCACCCTTATACTGCTCAGTCTGTAGCTCAGTGCTTCCTTGATAATGTTTTTAAACTACATGGTTTCCGTGTCACTATGACCAATGACAGAGATCCTGTTTTTCTCATCACTTTTTGGCAAGAAATCTTTTCTTATTTTATAAGGAGTTCAGTTACAAAGATTCACAGCCTATCATCCCCGACGGGCAGACTGAGATCTTAAACTGAACTTTGAAAACTTCCTAAGGTGCTTTTACAAAGATAGCCCAAAAGATTGGTCATCTTACTTGTCTTTTGCTGAATGGTGGTATAATACTACCTACCATTCTTCTATTAAATTCACTCCTTATGAAGTTCTTTATGATCAGAAACCCCTTATAAATCTTCCCTACTTAGCTGGTGAAACTGATACTAAAATGGTAGATAGGTCCTTAGCAGCTAGAGAAGCTATTCAGCAGCTTTTGAAATGGCATTTGTCAAGAGCTCAATATAGGATGTAAGACTTGGCTAACAAACACAAAACTGATAGACACTTTGAGGTTGGTGGGAGGGTATATTTGAAGTTGCAACCTTATAGACAGGTTTCTATAGCCACCAAGCCCTTCAATAAGCTAGCTGCAAAGTATTTTGGTCCTTATCCTATCAAAACTAAGGTGGGAGCAGTTGCTTATCGCCTACTACTACAAGCTGATGCCTTGATTCATCTCACCTTCCACGTCTCTCAACTTAAAAGGTGCTCAGAAATCCCAAATGTATAAATCATCCTCCTGTTATGCATCTGTCAAGCACCTACTGTCCTTTGCCTGAAGTTATTCCTAATAGAAGATGGGTTAAGCGAGGGAATAAGGCTATATGCCTCTTATTAAGTGGACTGGCGTTGAAGCAACTAACGACACCTGGGAATACCTTTTTGATTTGCAACACAGATTTTCTACCTTTCACCTTTAGGACAAGGGTGTTCTTTTGCAGGGGTATTATTGAAAGATTTAGAGGAGAGCTGAGTTGGCGGCAGACGTGGCAGAAGTTAGTTACGACTAAAGCTGATGCGGCAGAGTTAGTTAGAGAAAGTCAGTGTTAGTTACATAGTTAGTTAGGATAAGTTGAAGAGATTCCTTTTAGTGATCCACTTGCATTTGATCCATTTCTTTATATATATTGTAATTCATGTATTGACATTCATTCAGAATAATAATAATCATTCTCTTCTCACTTCTAATTTCTCTGAACTATTTTCTCGGCACTGCCCTAGCTTAGCTTCTTCTATCTTCGAGCTTAGCTCCTAGATTCTTCCTTGGTTCAGTCTTCAACTACACCAGTTGGATACATATTCTTAAAAATTAAACTACGGTTACTGAGAATGGCAAAGGTGGTTGCAATCTGAACCATTAATTTGTATTGGACGATTTGCTTGCCTTTTGATTTATGTTAGTTCGTTTTGTTTACAACATATATATTAATGGAGAGGACAAGAGTAGTCAAAGTATGGTTTGGAAACTCCCACGCCTATAAACAACATAGCCGCAGTGGCATGTATGCAGGATGTTTTGCAAGCGGAGTCACATTTAAAGAAGGAACAAATAAACTAATTAATAGAACACTAATTCTTTTTTCTCCTTCAATAGATATTGTAAGAAGTTTAGGTTTCAAATCCTCCACACCATAATTAAATTTTTTGTGTTATTTGTATGCCATTTGGTAAAAAGAATTCGACAGAAGCAATTCGTAGGCATCAAAAGTGTAATAATATGAATATTTGCAATGTAATTTCAGAACATAAAAATATAAGCTAATCTAAATTATGCGCACATCAACCCACAAATTTTGTTCCCCTTTTCCGTACCAAAATCTTAAGAACCAAACACAATTGAATTGTTAAATATGAAAGAAATTTCACATTTCTGAGCTTTTGCATCCGAAGATACAATGGTAACTTCAGTCATCGGTCTAACGTCTAAGAATATGCAAAAAACAAACAAATAAATAAATAAATAAATAAACACAGAACACCAGTCTGCTATAATATTAATATGATAACATACACCACCTAAATTATATTCCACGGCACAGTCCACTAGCTAAATTATGTGAACAAGCCCAGTTCCAATAATGAAAAATCAAAATTGCAAGATCACTGGCTTTGTTTTCTACAGCCAGCACTTGCACAAATTGTTGAAATAAATGAATAACATAGAGTTCCCTCTTTCCTTTCTATTGTTACATATAGCAGGAGTATTCAGACAGCTCTCTTGAAGGCTGAATGACTGCACTAATCATATTGGTATTATTAGTAGCCTTTCACTGGTTTGGTTGTGATGCCAAATCCAAAGGGAAAGAGGGGATCAACGTGTGCATCGTCAAAGTTCATTGGAAGCTGATCAACTCTCTTGAACCAAGTGCGAGCAAGTTTTCCAGTGAAGCCATAGTCACCAAATAAAGCATCAGCAACACCTTGGCCTTCAGTTCCAGGGAGCCAAGCAGCGACGAGAGCATCCATTTTTGAAACGTAAGGCTCCATAACCACTGGACGACCTGAGACTACGACTACAACACACTTCACTGCTCCACACACGTTACTGATGGTGCTAGGACCTGGTTCAGCTATTGTGAGATTTGAACTATCGCCAAACATCTCTGCATATGGGACTTCACCCACAACCACAATGGCATAGGAGAATTTGTTGGACTTTACGAAGTTCGCATCAGGATTCTGCTGGTACACTACTTGTGTAGAAGGATCAACAGTTTTCTTGATAGCAGTTAAAATGGTGGTGCCTGTCAAATTTGAAACGCGTATCAGTGACAAATTTGAAACGCGTATCAGTTCCCCTCTTATCTATCATATCAGAAAAACACTGTGTTGATTTAATCAGCAGAAAGACTGAACTTTTATTTATAGGACTAACAAAACAACAGCATAGAGTTATTTGGTAACAGGGAACCTCAGAAAATGAAAGAATGCTTTGGTCAGTTTGTTTTAGCAACTTACAATAACTAGGCGTTGAAATGGTTTTCTTATTTTTGCTTCTCGTTTTTTAATCTGAAGCAAAATAAGAATGTCTAGAAAAGAGGAGGGATCACATCAGAAAATGCTAAAAGAGGGGGAATTTGGATAGTTTTGCAGAGTAACAGCACCGAAACAGGAAAATCCAACTGTAATAATTTGATCATTAGTGCATGTTGTCACTATTCAAACACTTGAGATGGCAGGCAAAATAGAAGAAGTTTTTGCATCATGTTGCAACAATAACAATGTTGCCAATACTACACACAAAATATGAGAAAACTTACCAATAGTAAGATCGTTGCCAGCAACGCCCTGCCATTCAATTGTCCAGCCTCCACATTGGTAACCCAAGTTGTCTGCATGAGTTCCAGCAACAAGTATTTTTGGTGCTTTCTTTGGAAGAGGAAGTAGTGGCTGACTAGGCGTCTTGCCATTCTTCAAGAGCACGAGTGATTTCCTAACTGCTTCCCTTGCTAATTCTCTGTGCTCCTACAGAAATACAATAAAGCAGGTTAAGTCTAGCGCAAACAAGGCAGTGAAAGATTTTTGGAATTACACGTTGATATTTTATTTACCTGGCTACCCAGTTGGTTTGCCAAGCTAGGGTCAGACATTGGGTTCTCGAAGAGACCCATAACAAATTTTACTCTCAATATCCGCTTCACAGCATCATCAATTCTGCTCATGGGAATGATATTGGCTTTCACTTGAGAAGTCAAAGTATCGATAAACTCTCTATAATTCTCGGGGACCATAATCTGAAGCGTAGACAAAATAATCATGGTGAATACAAAGTGCTGTAACATCAACCATCATTATTTCTTAGATATATTTACAAGGTAAGTTGATCTAAAGATCCCAGTACAAATTTATAAGACTAACCATGTCGATTCCTGCCATAATTCCAGCTTGAACTGAATAAGAGTAGTTAGCATGAGGTGGATCAGTAATCCGGTCAATCCCTTGCCAATCTGAAATGACGAAACCCTGAAACATAAAGACCAAAAGAGGTGGTTATACTGCAATATATCCAACTTGACTTTAACTTGGCGGAGTTCTACAATGAAGTGAATTGATCAAACTTACCCTGAACTTGAGCTTGTCCTTAAGGAAGCCAGTGATTAGATCTCGGTTGGCGTGCATCTTTCTTCCGTTCCAGCTTGAGTAAGACACCATAACCGTTGCAACACCCTTTCTGAGTGAGTCATAATATGCAGGCATGTGGATGCTAAATAAACTGTTTGAGCTGATTACAGTGTTACTTTCATCAACGCCGTGCAACGTGCCACCATCTCCCACAAAGTGCTTAGCACAGGCCGCAACCTTAGTCCTTAACCATATGAAAGTTAACAAGGAACAACATCAGCATTGATAGTCTATAGGATTGAAATCCTAGTTTCTCAAACAAAGAATTATAGGTAATTCATAAGAATTTGCGAGTACAAATCATTTATAGGCAAGGAAATAATCAAGATCTAAAAAGGGATAGAGATTCTTACTTTCCTCCGACGTAAGGAACACCGTTCTTTGATTTAGCAGGCAAATCTCCTTGCAGGCCCGGAATGATCTCTGTCATGCTTCGCACGATCCTATGATCTTCACTGTAACTCTCATAACAACGGCCCCATCTAGGATTTCTACATACCTACCATAAGACAATTACTCAGACATCTAAATATATAGAAACAACATAGGCACAAAGTGTGATCATATCAACTCACTGCAATGCAGGGAGCGAAGGCATATGGAATTCCTGTAGCTCTAACTTCAAGTGCAGTTGCAGCCCCGATACGCTTCACAAGATCAGGATCCCTGCATAAAATTAGCAAAACCTTGTTTACGATTAGATAAAAAAGGAAGGATTTTAGGGGTAGAAACAAAACCCAAAATTCTGAAAATTGCTAATTACTGTACAATAGCCACTCTCTAGGTGCATATCTTTTAGCTTGAGTACTTCCGTGCTTGGTAAAGTTGATAAACTGAATTGAAATTCTTTTGCTTGAATTTATGGATAAAGCAAGAAAAAGATCATAACTTTAGGGGAAAGAGATTGAGACAATTTGACATTTAGATTTGAAATGATTAACAAGTAGAAAATCAACTATCATGAATACAATCTCTAAGGATATCCTTAACACTACCAACCAATACTTCAAATTGTGATTACACTATAGTCCTAAAGTTAGCAGATTCATTTCAAACAACGTTTTTAGTGTATATAATACTTGCCTGGTAACACCAAGCCCAACATTGTGAGGAAAGATTGTAGCCCCATAGACATTGTTGTGACCATGAACGGCATCAATTCCATAAATCATGGGAATACCAAGACGGGTCGAAAGAGAACCCTTTTGAATCTCATCTACCATATTGGTCCAAGCCTGAGCAGATGCCTTAGGTGCAGGTACACTCCCTCCACCACTCAATACACTCCCTGCACGAAATACAAGACAATACTGAGTAAAATGAATCCTTTTCACCTCTTATGTTTAAATTAGTACTACAAAAGTTCACTCACTTTTAGAATTATGGCACAGTGATCTAGCAATATCTTTTTCTCTTAAAAGTAACACAACAATAAGTAGCCAAATATACACATACTAATAGATGTGTATTTCCAAAAACTAAATGCACAAAGTTCTAGTATGAAGTGGAAAAAAGTACTCAAGAATGGCCAATCAATCTTGAGGGTACATATAGATATACCAATGAAATTTTGCTTCGCAACATCAGCTGTGGCAACTTTCCTCTATTAATGCCTGATTAGTACAGAAGTTTCACTTACTTTTAGTCTTATGGCACACTGATCAAGCAATATCATTTTCTCTTAAAGGTAACACAACACTAAGTTGCCAAATATACACATACTAATAGATATGCCTTTAGTCTTATGGCACAGATCTAGCCATATTAACAGTGATTTAGACAAATATACACATAGCTATAGATATGCCTTTTTCAAGATCCAAATGCACAAAGTTCTAGTATGATCCAAAAAACAAGCACTCCTATTCAAGAATAACCATTTCAATCTAGAGGATAGATATTTCAAACATACCAATGAAGTTTTGCTTCATAACATCAGCAGTGGCAACTTTCCTCTCAATCTGAGTCATCTGACCAATCTTTTCCTCAAGTGTCATCCTTTTCATCAAATCCTTGATTCTAGCTCCTACTGGCTGTTTTGGGTCCTTGTATTTCACATATTCTCCTTCTGCTACCACTGCCCATAGGCATAACACCACAAAACCCACCATGGGTATTGACATTCTCCCCATTTTTCCAATTTTTTACACACCCTCAATGGCCTTCTGCTTGAAAAATCATAAAAATAGCAAAAAACTCAATGAAACTACTAGTAAATACTATAGTCATCAAAACAAGCATACAGTATATAAATAAAGAAACTATTTTTCACACACCCCTCAATGGCTTTCTGCTAAAAACAATATGCTAAAACTCATAAAAATAGCAAAACTCAACGAAACTAGTAAATACTATAGTCATTCAAACAAGCATACATATTTTTGTTATAAAGTATGAAAGAAAGAAGAACCTATTTTTCACACACCCCTTAATGGCTTTATGCTAGAACAATATGCTAAAAATCATAAAAATAGCAAAACTCAATGAAACTAGTATATACTATAATGTCAAGAAAAAAAAGCCTATTTTGTTATACAGCTAATCAAGAAAATGTTGGAAAGTAAAAATTCTTACTTGTTGAGCTTGTTGTTTGGAAAAATGGGTAGACGTGTAGACAACTAAGACAAGTAGTTGAAGCATTAGTGTGTGTGTGTGTGTGTTATATAGATACAATTACATAATGCCATGTGAAAGTCACAGTAGTGGGGTAGTGGGGTGGGTATGGAATTAAGAAGGATAATTTGAATCAAAATTTTGGACCTGTAAAATTTGTCCGTTAGTTAACGTTTTTCAATGTTACTTTACTGACAATGTCGATTGGAAATTAGTGATTCGGCCCATGAGGTACGGCCGATTTTCATAAAGTAACGACTATAACGTACGTAAGAAAGAAAAATTGCAAGATAAGGGCTTTGGGTTTTCCAAAATGTGCCAATTGAACCATTTATAAGTTAAGTTATAAACACCACTAAAGATTGCAGTGAAATGAATATGATAGTTTTACTCTTAACCAATGATCTTATGTTCGAACATTAAAAATAGAAAATATTCTAGTAGAAAATGCTTTCTCCTTTAATATGTCTTACTCGACGCGAATCTCCCTTAATTAGGTCCCGAAGCGAGTACGAACATTAGGTGGGAAAGTAAATCTTTTTTTTTTTTTTAAACAAGCTCAAAACTCAATTGGTTATACAACCCAACGGCTATGCCAGCTTTTTGTAAAGGTCAAGTTGGATTTTTAAATGAATAAAGGTTCAGTTATCTTTCGTTAAATCTTTCAAATATCTATAACTCCTTAAACCAAATATAATGAAAATAATCATATCTTGGTTGCAAGATAATCCCCTCTTCGATTAGTGAGCTTAGTAAGTAGAAATAGAACGTTTAAAGACTTACAGGTCATTTGGTTGTTGGTCGCTTAAGTAATAAATAATCACCACATAACTAATGCAGTATTATTAACTATATTACATAATACATGTATTAAATTATGTGAGATGGAACGTGAAATAGGAATGCATAAATGCTCTGGTTTACTATTTAAAGATAATAATACCCTTTTAGAATAAATATTTTTTGTATAACAATTTATGCATTATTAATCACTACATAAATAATTCATATATTGTAATCTCCACATAACTAGCAAGTGAACTAAGCAACCCCTTATTCTTTGTGGATATGTTTAAAAAGGTAATAGTTTTATCTTTGTTACCTAATTTACCATTCTTTTGAATGTATAATTTAGTATCAACAATTTGAAACATACCATATGAAAAATATGTAGTGATCTGTCAGTGATAATAAACTAAGAAAGAATTATATTACATGGTTATCTTTGAAGTATATTGTTGCGAAAACCGTCATTTTATAACATTCTTCCAAATATTGGAAAATAACTATTTTGTGTAAGTTTATCTATTTGTGGATTATAATACAGTATATTACACAAAATATGAAATAGTAAAGATTTGTTAATATTTGAAATTACGATGGAAAGACGCGTTACCATTAGATAACTTTGTGTGTGTTAAATTTTTTTGTTTTAATTCTTTCGGATGGGAATGCACATCGTGTACTATATTTAAGATTAAAATTAAATTAAATCTAAGCTAAATTAGTCAACCTCTTCAACGTTGAAGTTAATTTGGATCAAATGTGGATACAGCCAAATTTGTAGGAGCGTTAGTTGTCCAACTAAAGATTTCAAAGTGATTCTACATTATGATTAACCAAAGCACCATCATAAAACTTTCCTAAGATGATGTTCTTTTTAAAATTATAATTATCGCGTGCATCTACATACTCGTAGGTTTGAATAGTTATATTAATTTTAATAAATAAATAATAAAAAAAAGGACCGATGATTCATTGTTTTGTGATAAGCATTCAAGCATGTGGCATGTCGGTAATAGTCGTGGGTTGTTTAAGTGATCTTTTGAAACCCAACATGCCCATGTTTCCCCGTAAACATAAAGTAATGGAAATTTTACCTATGGCAAGGTATACACTCTATTTATTACAAATTAAAATTATTTTAAAATATTATTTTTTATAACTATTTTTTATATTTTATAGTAAAATAAATATTTATGATATACTATCATTGAGGCGTGAAATACGTTATTTATGTGTTTTATTTCTTTTTTTTCAATTAACACACGATTCTCTCTCAGAATTTTTCTTCTTTGTCTCTCTTCCTTCTCTCTCTCTCTTCGAGCAAAATACATGCTTCTAATAATGAATTCTAATACTCCCTCCGGTCCACAATAAGTGAATTTTTAGCTTCTTTTTTGTGGTCCAAAATAAGTGATTTTTTCATATTTCAAGAATGAATTAATTATTCTTTTCCTACATTGCACTTGGAGTTAATGATGTTGGAGTATGCATTAGGAGTGTTTATATGAAGAGATAGTAAAGGTTAATATGGTCAATTTCATTGCTAATTAATGTTAAAATGTGAGTTTCTTAATATGTGTGAAAACAACCAAAAAATCACTTATTCTGGACCGGAGGGAGTAATGAATTCTCCAGCCGAATCCTCTAGGTTTACTGCAATTAAAAATACTTTTAAACTACTAGGAGAAAAAGGGAATAGACGGACATTTTCTTCAAAATCAGATTCATCCATAGCAAGAAGGAGCTCGTCGTTCTAAGGCTAGGGCCATTGCAGGGGAGCAAAAACGATGTTTGAATAATTCGAGTAGAGCATGTGGTACTATAACATGAACGACGGATACTGCAATATTTTCTACGCCAGAGAAGATTTGAGGGCCGGGGTTTTTGTTCGTCTTCATTTTTAGTTTTAATACAATGTATACAGTATTTTGTTTGGCTGGGAAATGTCATCGCTGACGAATTTTCTTCTCTTCTTTGTTATTTAGTCACATACAATGATACAAATACATTGTATTCTGTACAAACTTACTCAAACACATTGTATTTTTGTATAAATATATTTTTTCGCCTGTATTTATGTATTTTGAAGGTCTATATTTTTTTAATACACATGTATTCATGCATACTGTATATACAAGATATAAATATTGAAATACGCTGAATACAAATATTGAAATAGAGCAGAATATAAACAGTGAATATATTTAATTTTAAATACAGTAAAACATACTGAATACAAATGGAAATACAATGATTACAACAAATGAAATATACTGAATACAGCAGTAGTAATATGCATTAGGAATAACTAAAATACTGCTAATACAAATACATTTGAATACACTGAATACAAAATAGTGAATAGAGTAAATACAAACATTGAATCTAAATGAATGCAACAATAAAAAATAAATATTGAAACACACTAAATAAAACAGTTAAATACAATAGTTATATACAACTAAAAAATTATTCTAATTAATTGCGATGATAATGAGGCGTGTTAGAATTGATTTTGTTGAGTTATGTTAGGAGTGTACCACGCTAATTGATCATATTTTCGTTATTAGACAGTTGGACAGACCTATTTTTAAGGTGATTGTCGTTACTGCATTCATCAATACATGGCACGAATACATGAGAATACAATCGCGTACATCTATAACCCCCTATTTTTAGGCGATTTTTGCTATTGTATTCATGAATACAGTAGCGCGAATATAGCGAATACACTACCGCAACAACTTAATGTTGAGTTTGTTATTTAATAAATAATAACAAAAGAGGTGTGAATGGAAAATGGTGGAAAAAGAAATGGAGGGATGACCCGCGACCCGGTCCGGTCTAGCCCGTTTTTCTTTCCCGGATTAATTTAAATTCGTTTTAAATTTCCCGAAAAAAATGTTCCAACAGCCATGACTATTCTGAAAGGTTGCAAACCTCTTCAGAGGGTCACACCTGTTCCAACAGCCACGACTATTCTGAAAGGTTGCAAACCTCTTCAGAGGGTCACACCTGTTCCAACAGCCATGATTGTTCTGAAAGGTTGCAAACCTCTTCAGAGGGTCACACCTGTTCCAACAGTCATGACTATTCTGAAAGGTTGCAAACCTCTTCAGAAACATCACCAAGTTGGCTATAAATAGACCTTCAAATCCCAGAATATTTACTTACTAGATTTTCTGAATCTTCTTCTTCTTCTTCTGCACAAAATATTCCAGTGTGTTTTACGATCATCGGGTGGTTCGCCGATCACCAGAGTTTTAGGTACCGATACACTGGTGAGTTAAATCGTTCTATCCTGGGAGGATATATTCCATAACCTCGAGACTTGAGGGGAATAATTTCCTTAAGGACACACTGTGTATTCAGTGGGCTCGATTTGTTCCTTCAACGTTTCAAAAAATTATTTTGAAGTTCGAATATTATTTTTCAGAATTGTTTCTACTAACTTTCTGTTTTATTTTTCAGAAAGATTACTGTTTTATTTACTTACAGCAATACAGATAAATTAACAATCTTAAGGAAATTATATTTATTATATTCTGTATTCTGTCTGAATTTTATTATTCTGATTTGAAGATATAAAAACTTCATCAGGGTATTGAAATTCAGAAAACGATTTGAAGAACATAAAAACTTCATCGTTTTTCTTGAAAACAGTATATAAAAATCTTAGTTATTTTTATTACGTACTGTTTATTGATTACAATATTATTTACTATTTTGGTTTTGCCATTAATTGATTTCTTCTGTTGTTGACAGTAAGAAATGGCAAATAAAAATGGAAATCCTTTTGCGACTGTTGGTGCAACGACGATAGCCTCGTCAAGCCACACTGCTGTTCCTCCGGCTGAGAAACCGGGAAAATTTTCTGGAACCAACTTCAAAGGATGGCAGCAAAGGGTGTTCTTCTGGCTTACCACACTTGGTATGCAGAAATTCACTAGTGAAGAGCCTCCAGTGCCTGCTGCAGACATGCCGGATAATGAAAAGTTCATGGTTGTTGAGGCATGGAAGCAGGCAGATTTTCTTTGCAAAGGCTATATCTTAAGTACTTTAGAAGATGACTTGTACAATGTGTACAGTGCAATGAATACTTCGAAAGAATTATGGGACGCACTTGAGAAGAAGTACAAGACAGAAGATGCATGCTTGAAGAAGTTCGTGGTTGCCAAATTTTTAGACTATCAAATGATAGACAGCAAAACTGTGGGAACCCAAGTTCAAGAGCTTCAACTTATTTTTCACGACCTTATAGCTGAAGGTATGGTCGTGAATG